AGAAATCGAAATATTTATCATCGTGCGAACCCGAAAATTTTTGGAAGATCTTAAAACGAAAGCGTTCCTCTGACATTGTGTGATTTCAGCGGGTCAACAAGCCTAGTTGGCGAAAATAAAGTTCGGTGGAAAGCGCCTGCAATGAAAACGTTCAGTAATTGAAAAGCATTCTTTATAAAATTCAAATGAGTTGTTTTTAATTTTGCAAACAATAAAAAAAAAAAAAGTAACTCCGAAAAATTAATATATCATAAGTATCACTCCTACCAAATGATCGTTTATAGAAAAAAGTAAAAGCATTTCAGTCAGCCTAGAGCGATCATTAAATATCCTACGTCAGTTTACCTAAAACAATTCCTTATTGATTTTCGTCATAAAAATACCAAACGTTATATTTTATATGAGAAGAAGCCTAAAACGAGAACTCGCGAGCTCCAAATTTATTAAAATTAAGGGCTCTGCTACAGATCTTTTCATCATAAACTAATAGACGCTTGCATGCATTTTGATCAGTTAGATCTCTTGGCGAAAATTAGTTAATGAGAAGTATCAATATATCAATGTACACAAAGGTCTAATTCGATGATTTCGACATTTGTCTGCATCGCTGTTTCATTGGAGATGAAAACTGCATCGTTTACGACAATCCCAAGCACCAAAAGTCGTGGTTTAGTCCAAGAGAGCCACATCGACACCGAAACGGAATATTCGTAGCCGCAGAGTTTTTCTGGGCATATGGTGGGATCAGCAAGGTGTAGTGTATTACGAGACTCTAAAACCGAATGAAACTTACCGCGCATATCCACCGACATCACCTGAACAAAACGATATACTGTTGCAAAAAAGACTGACAATAGTCGTGAACAGCTCCAAACTCAACGTCATGAGTGACGATGCTCGGCCATGCTCGGAGAACACTTGCTTAAAGATACACTGTTGCAGCTCTGATGAAAAGTTTTGCCGCATCCAGGGTACTCAGCACACGTAGCGCCTTCTAGTTATTCTTTGTACAGATCGATGTAGAATGGCTTGGCTGGCACAGATTCCGAAATGCGGAAGAAGTGCAAAAGTGGATCGATAACCCGTTCCTTCGATATGGAATCGTCATGTTGACAGAGAGATGCAAAGAACATATTTTGGTTAATATATACTGCATCAATTTTTCTCAATAAATGCATTTTTCATGTGGAATAATGATTAAAATACGTGCAAGCACTTAATATTGAAAATTAGACCTCTTGCTACATCTTTGCTTATCTTCATAGTTGCGGTGGTTCAATAACTTTTCAGTTGGTATGCTGAAATATTATTAAGCGATTGTTGCCGAGAGATTTTCAAAATTACTTTTTCCCGTCATAAACTCTAAGCTGTGAAGAGTGGTGTGATCCAAACCAATTTTAACAGAGTCCTTCCTTGAGCTAAACACATTAGTAAAGCAAATTTCGTAAAAATGTCTTGAACTTTGCGAAGTGTCGATTGAATACAAATGCGAACACTGAAGAGATATCCATCTTCAAGAAGATAAGAAGAGAGATAGACGAGTCTAATTGCAGAATCGGTTAATATAATAAAACACGGATCTATGTTAAATCTTTCTGAACGTTTCTGAACGTCATCTGCACAACGTTATATACATCCGGTGTACATAATTAAAGGTGTATGTATATGAAGATATATATGGTGTATCAGTTAATGGGCAAATTTCGTGAGAAAATTGAAATTAGAAATTGAAAAAATCGTGAAGGGAGTGGTACTGATTTTTCTCTTTTTGATTAAAGTAGTATTCTTATATGATTATTCAGTACAACTAGCACAAGTTTAAACCATTCCTTCAGTTGGTAATTTGCTAACTTATTTGTCGCAAAAAGCTTTTGATTTTTAATGATTTTGAATGATTTGTCTTCTAGTGAAACATAATCAATTTTCACTGTGATCAATTTCGTTTGATAAACAGAAAGTACAATCTCATATTTTTTATTTTTTTATTTTTTTATTGCATATCTGCTTTGTAATTTATCCAAGAAGATAATTAGTAAATTTTATACCAACGTGAGGAAAATACCAGAGATTATTGTCCTCCAATTGGAAGAATATAACAATACAAATGTGATGTTCAAATAAATAAAAAGAATAAACTTGTATAAACTTGGGAAAATCATTAAAATATTTTAAGGGACGAAAATTAAGTTAATTTGCCACTGGGGCAGCTAATATATGGCGCCTCTTCAACGTTCTCCTTCTGGATCGCCTAAAAGAGCTATTGCCAAGGGAATAACGTAATTACTCACTCTGACAGGGTATTTTAAGGAAGGCGTCGAATCCCATTTTTGCTGAGCAGTAAGTTCAGGTCATCATAAATAATTTTGCTGCGGGGCGTTAGCAAGAAGATAAATTGCCTTCTTTGAAGTATTTTAATATTAAAGTTACTAGCCTTTCTCCACATTGTATGGCGTAGGACAGAAAGGGTTTTAAAGATACTCTCTTATAGATTAAGTCAAGATATTAGACGAATTAGACAATAGAGTAAGTCTTCTGGTTTGTAGGTATAAGGTTTAAGCCAAGTTGGTTTCATTTTCTTATGTTAATCTTTGGTCGACATGTAAGCAAAGCTGTTTGACACAGTTTTTGGTAGGGATATTATTTTATCGTTTGTTCGGCGGAATTTTTTTGAGATGAATTTGCAGTTCGTAAGAAACATTTGTGGGTGCACTACATAAAAATAGTATCGCTGTGTCGCGCGCATTCATCACATTTAAAGTATTGTCAGCGGTCGGAAGAACTAAAGCGAAAATTGTATGCATTGCTGGACCTAAAACAGTTCGTTGGGGCAATTTTACACGTATTGAGTGTATCATTGTCTTATTTTTTAAATTAAGAAAATTTTTAAAAGCAGAAAATCTTTTGAAAAATAGAAATTTGAAATATTAGGAGACCCGAATTGTTGGCGTTAATCAGTTGCAGGGCTTAAAGAAGCGTGAAATTTCGAGTAAAAAGTTAAACGATTTGGAAATTTACGCTCGATTTGTTTCCAACAGCTTAAGCAAAAGCCAAGAAGTTTCTAGCGTTGCGAGGAACTACACATTTTTGGAAACAAATATAGCTGGTGCTTCAACTATGATGCATTGAAGCAGAAGGGCAAAATGCTATGTAGAAGTCCCCAAGCTGAAAATAATTGCATTTCTGGAAATTATAAGTAAAGATAATATTAATTTGTTTTTAGCCCTTCAAACGCTTGGAGCACTTTATTAATGTGGGACGGAGGTTATATCTTCGAACAAAACGAAATAAATTTCGCTAACTGTTCCAAAAGTTTAAGACAAAAAAGCATTCCTGACATATGTCATCAAATATTATTATTATCATTATTATTAATATTAAGCCAGAGAATAAATTCTAAGACTAAAGTCTTAAAGCATTAGCATTTAAGGCTTCCGGCTTTATTACAAACTCTACCGCACTTGAGATTTGAACCCACGAATATTCAAATATAATTTCAAAATGTGTTATATAACACTTGCGCAAAATTTCTATGTTTTATGATACATGTATTTGAAAAACGAATAATGGTTAGATCAACTAAAGCGCCGTCCAGTTTTCATACTTGTTAAGACAACTTCAAGTTCTAGTTGCTCAACACCTTTAATAATAATGGCAAATATAATATAAGAATAACTTTTCGGCTATGCTACATGACGAGCATTGCTTTCTCTCATGTACACATCGAACTTCAGGTTTAAATCTTTAAATTTGGGCGCTTGGTCACAGACTGGCAAGCATGTGCGTTGATCCGACACATAGCAATATTCTTGTTAGAACCTTGCAAGTCTTTACCACTTGGTGAAGCATTCAGAAGCACTTTTGGTATTTGTTATGATTGTTGCCGCAGCATAGTTGCGACCTAAAGTATAATGCGTACATATCTTCATTAGCATAACATTCTCCGTCCATTTGGCACCTTGCCAATTGTTTTTTGAACTCGTAAAATCGTAATAGACAGGGTAGAAAGTGAAAATGTCACAGGCATCTTGACCTTATTATGGAAATTGAAATCTGGTCAAAACGTGCCAGCGATAGCCGAAGCGAAGTAATTTAAAGCATGACAAGACATTTGCAATACTAAAGCTTTTAACTTACAATATTTAACCGTTAGGTTGGGGTGCTACCATTAAGTAAGATTATGTATTAGTTCAATTCCAAGGCAGTCTCAATCAGCTAACAATTGACTATCAAAGACTCCTCGCGTTTTATTCACGTGACCTTGTTTGCACGACGCATAGTATTCATAAAATTGGCGTTGCATAAAATGAATTATTATTATTATTTTGATCTTTTTTATGTAATCCTTGAAAATTGCGATTAAAGAAAGAACAATTTTTCTTTGTTAAATGAAGTTGGTTAAAAACAGTTTTACAAAAGTTTTTAGTAGTATTTGTCGTAAGAGCCGAACTTTAAAAATAAAAAAAAAAATCCGCTTAATACATATGTATGTTTGTGTGAATGTATTTTCTTCTTCTTCTTCTAATGTTCGCTTTGACATCTTAACATTTTAATTTTATATTAAAATTGTTATGGATGTTATTAAACAAAACTTTGTTTAGAAAAGAGTAAAAACAAAAATTTATATTTTGTAGAAGCCTCTCATCTCATCATCACTTTATCATCATCGGTATAAAGGTACATAACATATTCTCTGTGTGAATTTATTTAAATAGATTTACGCACTTGATTCCACATCTACATATAATATAGAAATGAATCGAGAAGCGTTTTCCATTATTTGTTTGTTTTTTACGAAAATTATTTTGAATATTAATGATAATCTTTTATTTTCTATATTTCTACTTCCCGCACAGGTTTATGAAGCTCGCGGACTGCATACGAGTGGGTTTTGAGAGCAGACACACACATCAATATTTCATTTATTGAAATAATTTTAATAAATATATGCTGAAATTTAAGAGAAAAAAAATTCATTATTATATTAATTAATTAAATATATCTTCTCTTTTTTTTACATTTTGTGATATAAATATTTGCTGACTTAAAGTAGTTAAAGTATTTAATTGAATTTTAATACGGTTTTCAACAGCTCTCAAGAAATGTATACCAAATACTAAAAAAAAAAAACAAAAAAAAAATACCAAAAATCAAACATTAGTCTATTAAGCTAAAGAAAGCATTCCACTTTTAAGGTTAGAACAGTATTCTTATAAACTTCAAGTATTCAAGAAAATATATAAAAATGTTTAATTTCAAGTTTCAATTACTAATTATATGCTGTCTTTTTACATTGTTAATGCTAATGTGTTGGCCCTCTACGATACTGGCTTGCTCTAGTCGTAGTGTACCAAAACCTAGACCTTTCTCTATAGCTGCACCCACCACTACTAAGATGCCTCCTTCAACTACTAGTACCACTACTATTACGAGCACAACTACTACTACTTCAACCTCTACATTGGCTACAATCAGCGCTAGCACTACTGCCACAACTACAACAACGACAACTACACTGAGACCGAATATAACATTCCCGACATTTAAATGTTCGGCCGATTATCATAAATGGTATTGTTTGAACGAGGCCACGTGCTTTGCAGTAAAGATCGGCGGTTCGATTATGCATAATTGTGAGTGTGCTATTGGCTTTATGGGTCCTCGTTGTGAGTACAAGGAATTAGATGGCTCCTATCAACCAAAACTTCCACGTCCTATACTCGAACAAGCCAGTATTGCCAGTGGTATCACTTGCATACTATTGATTTTGCTTTTCATTTGTCTAGTCTTGTACTTACGATACGACCATAAGGTCGCCGTAGCCTCTGCTTCCAAAAAATTAATATTTTATGATGAGAACGTATATGGAGAAGCAATCAATAATTGTCGTTACTGTTTAGAGAAACGTTATTGCTCTACTTTGGCTATGGAAAATGATAATAAATATTTACTTATTTCAGAGGAAAAAGTTGAGGACGAGAAAGAAAACAATTCCTGCTTGCATCAGCATATTGAAGCATTTCCTATGGGTTTTACAACAAAACGATTTAATAGATTTTGAGTAACAACATTTTGAATTAATTGTAAAGAAGGCAGCATATAATCTCTGTTTTTGAAAAAGATTTTGGCGTTTGCTAATGGAAGAATTTGAAATTTGATCTTTATATTTCGCGTATTAGCATGCTTCATCTACATATTTGTTTATCCTTTTTTTTTTGATTATTTTACGTTCGGCAAGAGAACGCAGCGTTTCGCTGTGTTTCACGCTCTATTCACATTCCACATTTGCAAATTGCTATGGTATGACCCAATTATTCCAATCTGTTTTTGCCTGAATTTTGTATCCGATCATGACTTTGAACTAAACACGACGTGGACATTAGTGGAAAAGTCAGGAAACAAATTTTCTTCTTTAAGTATATGCCGAAAATACTAAATGCTTTTCCACTGACATTTGCGATCCTAATATCTTTTGCAATGGGGATAACTCTAAAACGTGGAATGTGTGCTTGAAATTATTTAGTTCGCTGGATATTTCGTTTAAAAATAAGTAAAATGTTTTTTTTAAAGTTTCCAAATCATCAAAGCATTGTATTTTGTTGCAGCTAGTTTTAAACAGTAGCAGAAACGTTGGTTTCAACTGCAATGGAACGGAATTCAGAAGAATAAAATATATTTTCCTGCTCATGTGGACGGATATCCTTGAATTTAATTGTGAGACATTTCATCGCAAAGTTTTGAACGTTGACATGAAAAGCTATAAAGATGCAAATTTAATAAACTTTAAAAAGGTTCTGTGTGTTCGCTAACAGGTCGGGAAATGACTTAATTCCGTCAGAATTGGAAGCGTAAGATGTTTTAAATAAGTAACTTATAATTAGCAAAAAAACTATCGCACGTGAAATGTTGCAAGAATATGGGCTTAAAGAATCTGCACAAACTATTTTTTTTCGGCTCACTAAATAAATGAGAAATTCTTTTGCTGGCTTTATATTCAGTATGATAAAGTAGAACTCTCGACATCGATTGGATTATTGGACAGGGTTTTAAAACGAACTATCAACGTGCTGGATTTTAGTTCGAAGAAATTAAATAAATTCACAACCCGTAGTGAAAAAGAGATAACGTTGAAAAAAAAAAATTGATATTTTGCACTTAAATTTAGTTGTATATGTGCAACTGCCAGAATAAAAAGGATAAAAAATTGAAAGTTCCTATATGTTTTTCTTGTTAAGTCAGGATCTGCAATATATGGTGGTAATATGATCACAACATTTTAACGAAAAATCATTCCGAGCGACTAACTGATAGACGTTCAAAATTGAAAGTAAAGTTTCGTTCGCTTCACGACAGGAATAACAAGTAATCCGCGCGTTGCGTTAAATTTGAACGCTTAAAAGTGAATTGCTAGCAAATGCCATAATCTCACGGAAAATACTCAATAAAAACTGTAACAGCAACTACGTGATATGTTAAAAATTATATAAAAAATAAAATCTATTGCCTTACTCTAACGTGGAAAAAGAAAAAATTTATTTGCTTACATATATGTATATGTATGGGTATATACGTATATATGCTTACAAATACATGTGCAACCGCTTAAAAGGGACATATTTACTAATATATTTACTGAAAGGTCTGCTAATACAAAAGCAAAAGAGAAAAAGTGTCAAGTGAAAATGTTTTTTTGTAGGTACTATTTATTTATACTGTTAAGCTATATATATTTATTTATAAATATTACACGTGTGAGTAAAGCGAATTTTTTTTGTATTTTTACATTTTATTTGCAAACGTTAAGAAAAGTATTATTTTGATGTATAAGAGAATTAGACAAAAGTATATAATAAATGCACTTCTGACGCTTATAAAACATTTTCGTTCTTTCTTTTTTTTGGACGTTTTTTTTTCGGTAGAAGGGAAGCTCTTTCATAAGCCATCATAGGGGACTCTAATCCTTTAAAATCATCCCCTCCCCCTGTCACCGTGATAGAATAGCGCAATATACAGCTCATGACCATCGGTGATGTTCCTAGAGTAGTTCCTATACTGGATCCGTAATGTCTGGAAGATGCCTACTGTAAAGCTCTCAATAGCAAGCCATTTCTCCTTTTACCACTACAATCGGCCATACAAGGTTTTCCGGCTTGGGCGTTTCCACCTATTTTCGAGCACAGCTCACTGCTCTCTTGTTCGAAATGACAGTTATTACATAAGCATTTCGGCACTTTTGTAAAATGTGCCACTTATGATTTCAGTTTAATTATTTTATGTCTTCATCTGTTTTAATTGGTCACCTATTATTTTCATTTATTTTGATTACGCTGAAGATACTATATATGAATCGATTTAAGCACGTTTGTTCTTGTGCCGCGTACCTGTGTTCACACAAAACTTATAGATCGTTTAAGAAGTTCTTATATGGAAAAAGATTGCAATTTCCGAAATTCCTCGGCAAAAATTACTAAGCCTTACTATTTACGCACACAAAATTGATGTGAATTATCGACTATCGCGAAAATAAGTTAAAAATTGTATTAGGCCAAGCCGCGTGGAGTGTGTGACGATCGGTATCACCTGAGTATATCATTTTTTTTTGTTTGCTTTAAATAGCTTCTTCAAATATAGTGAGATTAAGGACAGTTTATTTAAGGAGGAATTACACGGTACAACAAAAAGTTCCAAATGCAAACAAGGTGCGCGTATATATATTTTATGAATTTCTTTAAATAAACTTCCTACCTACAAAGAAGGGATACCTTGCTATAAATTAATCTAAGTGGGATGTACGAGCGTGAAGACATATTGTCTAACGTTGTGTTTGTATCCACTGCCGGCGGATAAGGATATATACGTTTTGCCAAAACATTTGCAAAACCTATAATCTCGTAGACCGCATAAAGTGTTTTCTCGTCGTTCTGCTGTGATAAAACCTCTCTTGGCTGCTAATATAACGTTAACGGCTTCGAATTTTGCATAGACATTGGAAATTCTTGTCGGGTGATGTTCTTACAGAGCAGTGTAAACTACGAGCATCTGTAGTTTCAAGGTTGTTTGTCCGTTACGCATTAATCGCAGTAGAGACAAGATAACAATTTGCACGTATACTTTACAAATATCGATCAAATCATCCACGCCCACCGAATATTATACTATACGAAATCATCGTTTTCTCTACATTGTAACGTGTATAAGATTACTTAGACGGTCTACCGTTTATTAGGGCATCCGAATCTTGGAATTGATGTACCGTGAGCATAAATATGCTAGCACATGTGTCTAGGGCACTGTGTAAGTAATAAATTAAATCAAGTATTAGATGAAGTATGACTAGAATTTAAGCGTTTTCTTATTTATTATTGAATTGTTTTTTCATTATTAGTATGTATTTCTTTTTGAATAATAATAAAAATAGTGATAATAATAACAGCAAAAATAACCTTCAAACACTTTCCAAAGACATCTATGGCGTATTAGAGAATTTAGAATTCAGCAGGTAAGACTAAGGATTGTAATCTCCCACCAGACACGACAATTCTTTTCGAAAAGCTTGAAGAGAAGCACAAGACTCACTGAGGGAAAAGTTTCTCTCCAATAAGGACTTTTTTTTTGATATTCTAGAAATAACATAAAAGAGTTGTGGTATTGTGGTCGCTTGATTGTGGCCGCTTGATCACAATCGATTGTTGTCATATTCTCATAACAGGGCCCTCAAAATGACTTTATGTGATTGCAAACATTTGTTTTCGTTGATTGCGTAATCCAAAGCTTTCTTTCTTTCGGCCTTTGTATGTGACTACCTTTTGTGTTTCTATTTCAATATAAACCTTGATATTTTTTTATTTTATTATTGACATGATCTGCTTCAATCTTTAGTTCTTTCATATTTCTCTTTTAAGAATCTACACCGAAATATTTAATTTACTGTACTACGAGAAGTTATTTCGTTTATCGAATGAAACGTCGATTCATTTTCAGTCGCTCGAAAAAGTTAAATTTTGGGACTTTTGTGGTTAGGATCAAGCCGAAATTGAGGGAGCTCTTAAGGTATAATTATCTTGAAATTAATCTTAACTGCGCCAAAATCTAAATTATGTCTGTATGTATGTATACAACACATCAGCCAATAATTCCCGAGACTGACACATAGATGTTCTCTCTAACAAATATTCATATTATTTTTAGAAGCTAACTTCTCGTCCTTTTTCTAATTTGAACACTCCTTTAAATCCGCCATTATCCTTGATTGCAACAAGATTATACATTGGCTGTTTGTTTTTCGTTTATGGATCTATATAATTAAAAGAGCGTAATCTATAGTAAACAATCTGTTGAGTAAATGGTCAGATATGCAGCAAATTAATGTACTTTAACGGCGATTATTATCGATATATAAAGAAATTTGCATTGATTTGATTTGAATATCGCCCTTTGTCTATGCCGTATTTAAACTAACTTTTAATCTTAATATCTCGTTATGATTCGAAAATTAATTGTTGTTGCTTACTGTATCCGCTGCCAAGCTTTAGCATGTTTGCGATGGTTTAGCGGTTCACTTAGAATTTGGTTCTGTTCTGGTTGTGGGTACGCCACTGTGCTAGTTCTGTACGTGTTTTTTTATTTATACAAGAATTATTATTTAATTATTATTTCATTTATTTGTTTTTTTTTCTTATTTCTCCTTATATACTTTATACTAGCTTTTAATATTAACTAGTATAAGGTTTACTTTTAGGAATCAATTGAATTCGACTGTTTATTTGTTTTAGTTGAGCGTCATGTCTAAATAAATAAAAATAAAAAAAAAAAAACAAATAAATAAATAAATATCCTTTATCTAAAAATAAGTTGGCATATTTTGGAAATTTATTACACTAATCAAAAAAAGAAAAATTTGCGCTCAGATATGTTCCGCTAGGCAAAGCTTTGACAGCAAATGTCTTCTTAAACTTCACTTAAGAGAATATGCTCATTTGTTCGTCTTTCCTTTCTCACGTTTGCCTCGATAATGTGCGCGCCAACACAACTCATGTTTACATCTAGGATAAATTTTAGAATTTTTTTTTTCTTTTTTTAGGACTGAAGGTCAAAAGAATTTTTCTGGTTTGTGACGGACGATGAATGCAAAAAGCATCGCCTTAACCATTTAGATAGTTGAATTAATTAATTAAGTTGCTGCTTTTCAAGAATGTCAAATTATTTTTTGGACAATTTGGTAGCGGAGGGTGGAATTAGAAGAGGACAAAAAATGGAAAAGTTAGCGAGGAAAATTTGACATAGTAATATATTTGTAATAATATACTTATTCTTTTATAGTTCTTTTATCATCCCTATACTAATATATTGCTCCTTATGTATTTTATTATGTTCTGTCTGTTATTGTATTAGTTATTATATTAGTTTTTTTTTATATTAGTCATCTTTTAGAAGTAGTTGTGTCACATAGCTTTCTAGTTGAAGCAATTCGCTAAGGTATTATAGCAAGATTTACAGTTAAACTCAAGATCTCAAAGAAAAAAACAAATTGAATTATAGTTTATTTACATAATGACTTTGTCTCTCTTAATAACGAGACAACTTTAACCCAATTAGGTCATTTTGATTGCCTCTTTGGCCAAAACTCGTCAGTATGGACTTTAGTTTGCAAACAAAAATACGTAGACATTGTGCAGACGGAGGGGCAAGTGTCGATGAATTCAGGAATGACTTTATATAGAGCAGTAAAATAAGTTTTCATATGACTTCTATATGTCTTTTATTGGTTACTTTTACAGCCAAACATTCGAATGAAATTGTGTTTGATGTTATAACAATTATATATATCAAATTACAAAATTTATATGTACTATAAATATATATATATATATATGCTACATGTACATATAAATATAAATCTACAGGGGCTCTGTGCTTAACATGGTTACTTCCTATTGCATTGTATTGAAAACGTGTTATGGAGAAAATTTTGTATTTTTTAATTTAAACTAAAATATAATAGAGCATAACATAAGTTGAGCTTAGACGTAACAAAAATCATTGCAATGCGTACCGTGCTGTATCGTAAGGTGTAAATCTTGTTATGATAATCGCAAACGTCGTACCACATTGTATCGAAACACACAAGTGCACGAATTAAGCGCATACATATTTGTCGGTTTTATAAACCTTGAAAAATGGTGAATTCCGGATTCTCCATTCATCCCTTGTTCTTAGTAAGCATATGTCATTTGAGCAACTATTTTTTGATTAAAAAAGAGGAATAGGTGCATGTATATACATTATAAATAATAATAAATAATTGTAGATTAACCAAACTGCTGTTTAAACTACACTTCATCAATCCACATTTGTTTTGATATTATAGCGGTCGCGCTTTCCACGAATTAAATCAAATAGAATAGCAATTACAAACATGGAAAAACGCAGTAAGGGATTTTCCTTACCAGCCAAAATGACGCGAAAAGGTGGCAGTAACTTTTGTGGCCTGGAATAAAATAATAGTAAAATAAATTCTCTATAGTAAGAGACTTGCAGTAAAACTTAAATTACAAAACAAATTAAAAATTTCGATTTATTTTTCTCAATTATAAGTTAAGTAAGTAAGTTAAAACCGAAAACATTTGCCCGTCACCACCACAAAGGTTGTGTTCCAATTTTTAGGTCGAGAAGTATGCCTCGGAGATGCCATAAGGCGCATGCATTCAATTGTTTGTCATAAATGATCAAAACTTTCAGATTTCTTATTTGAAACTCACACAAATGTACGGTTTAAAAATCACCACCTATATGATTAAAATAAGGAACTGAAAAATTAATAAAAAAATTTTATTTTTTGTTTACTTGTTTCTAATATTTTATTTTTAATTATTATTATATTCTCGCCTTGTTTCGAAGGTCACAACAAAAAGGTTTACCAGTAATTTTTTTTAACATTCATTAGCTTATGATATAAAGACTTTAATGGTCCTACACTTGACAATATTAGGGTCATTAATGTAATAAATTTCATAAGAATTCGAAAATCTTCGGTGGTCTTACGAACGAAAAATCCCGTCTCATAACCATAATACTGTGCAGTTAAGGCCAGCACAAATGTTATTAAGCCTAAGAGATTATGAGAAGTTTTATTTAAAAGAGGACTCAAGAACTGTTTAAGTTTCTGCGAGTAAAGAGCAGCCAAGCCCGATATCATACTAATAGAGCATAAGATAAGAGCGGCAAAGCCTGAAAAGATATTATAAATGTTGCGAAAATCTAAGCCTGGGTAAGTTTTTGAAGCATTCTTACCTAATTTTCCATGCACTGTTACTATTAGGAATCCTTTCTGTATACATTTGACAAGCGTTCCAGTTATACCTAAACCACCGCCTAATACTTGTAATACCCAATGTATAGTAGTTTTAGTAGCTCTAGGGAAATTACAAGTTAGTACATTACTTTTGTAATGGCACATAATCGCCTCTGCCATAAGAAACGAGAACTGTAAGGGAAAAGAAATAGTAGAAAAATATATAATTTAAAGAAAAGTATTTCAATATTTTGCACCCTAAGCTATGTTAAGATTGCGCGAACTTATGAAACACTTGGCACGCGTCCCCATTTTATTATTACTATTGATTCCGAAGCATTTTTTGAAGTTCAAGCTTATCTGTCCGTCTATTTATTTGACGTCTGTCTACGCATATCTGTGCTTGACCTAAAGACCATTATTTTCGAGATGTTTGAATGAATGGAAATATTTTATTGAAATAGATAATACATATAATATTAGGCGGGTGTGGCCGATTTCTTTAAAAAATGGACAGATACATGACCCACAAAATATGCGTTCAAATTTTTATAGGTACATTTGCTGTAACTTTTGAGTAATGAACAAAAAACCAATTATTTATTCCTTTTGCAAAACAGAGACGTTCCCAATTTACCAGGTATTGTGAGCAAGTCGTTCGACCGATTTGTCTCACATTCAATGCTGCCCATTCAATGGTGTGGACAAGAATTTTCAATGTTTCTGCCAAATTCGTAGCCGATAGCTTACAACAGACATTAGAAGAATGCTTACAACAGACATTACACAGACGAACAGACAAAGCTGCTTCAATTGATTCAGAATTCGATTTGAATAGTATTTCCTTAGACGTTAATTAAAATATGTGTATTATTGATGAGCTCTAAATGCATTTGAGTGCATAATTCTTGTGCTAAGATAATAACAGCAGAGCATTGTTGTATAAATTCTGTCGCTTGACTACAATACCATGTTAGATTAAATGGTCGTAAAACAAAATTTGGTTTAATCAAATAAAAAGAATTTTTATACAATGTTTAATTTATAAAAATTTTTTGCTTTTTCTCCCATTATCGTTTTATGAATACGCAGTAATTAAGTATGCTTTTACAACTTCACAATACATTAAATAAACAGTAATAAACAAGCGGTCATAGAAGAATTTAATACACAATTTTCTGATATATGAATGCAAATTTATTAAGCCAAATTTGTTTATTTTTATTTATGTAATAGATTTGCCAAAATATCTAAAGGAATTCAATTTAAGTTGTTTAAATATTTATCTATTGAAGTAACTGTTTTCATAATATTGGAATACAGTTATGCTCATTTAGTCATTATCTTTGCAAAACTTATGAGGCTGACAATATTAATGCCTTGTTCTGAAATTCCTTTCGCTGACATTGCAATCCTTATTTGTAGCCATGGAAAGTGAAAGTTGACGTTAGGCGTATATTGGGATGCTTTTGTTTTGGTTTAATTTAGTTTGGCATTGGTTCAATAGGCCGGCCAACAATTTTACCTAGCACCTATAAAACACTCATATATATTTTCCATAAAAATGGTTCTAAGTAGTTCGTATTATCAGGCCCATAACAACAATGAAATTATAATTCTGACACATATCGTGTCGAAAAACTTTTTTTCTCAAGAGGTTTTGGTCAAAATACATATTTTGAGCTAATCAATGTGCGTATTAATCTGATGCCGATTTCTAGAGTTATGGGTGAGCTAAGTTTTTTACCATGCAGGGTTATGCTAGCTGTGGTGCAAAGGTAATGAACAAAGTTTTACATTATAAAACGCTCATGATAAACCATTAATACCAATACTAACAATAATATCACGTGATAGCACATCGGATAAACTATATTTTAGCTTAAACTTAAAATATGGGTCTAACATATAAATTAGTTCGGGATGTCATGTTTGTTTTGAGGGCGTTAAATTCTTTTTTTAAATTTTTTACAAGTGAAATTACAACGTTCTAGATGAACAGAAACGCTTAAATCGATTTAAAAAGTGATTCTAAATCGATTGGTATTACAAAAGCTGAATATCTTTCAACTCCTTCTACGTGTTGCATCTTTGTACCATAAGTGCTGTATTATAGTCGGTTGTGCTCGAACCTTTTCACACCAACTTTGACTTTGACAAAACTCAAGAAAAACGAAAAGGTTACGTTTCGATATTTTATTCATTATAACAGTGTGTGGGAAAATGCACATGGACATGTTTAATGCCCACCTGCTGCAGTTTATAAGTAAAGGGTGAAAAAATCAGAAAGCTGAATCACTTTTAATATTAACCTGCTGGCAAGGAACTTTCAATGTTCTTGCCGAATTCGAACTAGGTTCATTGTATCGCAAATATAACATAGTCGGACAGACGACAATTTGATACGGATCCAGAATATATACACCCTATGGGATCTCTGAAGCTTCTTTCTACTTGTTTCAAACGCCTCGACAAATTGAATGTACTCTCAAGCTTCAATAGAGAGTATAAAAACCGTGAAATTTAGAAAAATTGTATGTGTGCGAGCATGTGGGTTTTTCACGAGCGGCAATTCACATCGATATATACGAGGTCATAATAAAAAGCGCATATCAGAAATGGTTCGATGATTGCAAAACGCCCTGGCACAGTTGTATTATATCTACGGGGGGATGGCTTTAAAGAGGCCAAAATAGATATTAATGAATAAATAAATGCTTTTCGAGAAAAATGATAAGTTACCATTTTTTTGAACTCGGCTCGTACGAGTTGGACCCAAAAGTATTTAAAAATATTTTGCGTTTAGGTGCCTTGTATACGATACTCGTCAAAAAGATATAACCTTTCTACGCATATTATTGGATGCCGCACGCGGAATGAAAAACTTTGAACAAATCTTCGCAGCCTTCTTAAAGCTTATTAAAAAAATGTTCCTCACAGATGTTGAACATAATTGAAAGTTAATGCTTGTTAAGATATATTAGTAAGCGTTCAATATCGTTATTTTTAGTATAAGTTCTGATAGCAAATAACTTACTGCGTGTTTTGCGGTTACTGTTATGACTCCTGCGACATACTATATTAACAGTGTTCTTGTAGAAGTGTTCGCATTATCAATTAAATAGTTCATGAAGATTTATAAAATATGCGACATATTCCATACAAAACAACCATATATTATAAACTTACCCCAAGCGTTACCAGCCATGCATGCAATGAGGTCTTCGTCAAGCCGGTACTCAAACATAACCAATTCATGTAGATGGTCGTAAAACCAATGCAAATTTGATTAATAATATTTAAGAAATACTCGATATTTATTAGAGATTGCTTTGTGTCACTATCAGCACAATTCGATTTCATATCCATTGTCATTTTTAAGAATCGTGTAGATATCACAGTTTTCGTCCCGGGAGTTTTGATGAATGTATCAGGTTTAGAAAGTTTTATAGACGTTAATCTTTGATAACCGAAGGTAGAAGTTGTACTAGCCGTTGCCGCGCTATCAGATGTACAGGTAACGTTTCCGCCGTCCGCTAGAGTAGATGTAATTTTTAACGTTGTACTGCCATAATCAGTACAAATGACACTGGACGTCGCGTCATTTGAAGTGCTTATATTCATTGCGGAATGTAAATAAAGTTTTCGGGTCTATCTGGTTAAAGAGAAAATAAGAGAGAGATTAATTGAATTTACCCTATAAACTCTCTTATCAATAAGATTGAATTCCGTTGAAATTTTATATAAAAAATAAGTAGAAAAATAAAGGTGCTCTATTTTTTAAGGGGGAGTCACAATATATTTGGTGATTGCACTCTAGGATTTTGCTTTGATTTTATGTTATATTTATTGCGTTTACTACTTGGAACAAATATTGGATTGTCAATTGTCTTAAAAGAATTCCTTAAAGCACCGATCAACAACCTCAAAGGCGCTTCGAGTACTCTGAGAACCCCTTCGATATACGTCGTCATAACGAAATTCAATTACCGGTGTTGCGTTCATTAATCTCACTGTTCTACCTTTGCAACCCGAAGAGATGAAATTTTGCCAACAAAAAAGTTCTGATGCAATATTTTCTCTTAAGAAGATAAACAGCTTTGTAAAAGCTCGATTCATTGTATCTATTTAGAGTAGGGCGTCTAGACGTTTAACAAGCGTTTTTATCGTGAATGTGGTCGTGGTATCCAAATGCTCACCGAAGGAGAAAATGGCACTTGTTACCCCCCCCAATGCCGAATGGAGATCTATTATATGGACACGTTCGTCCCGCCAATCAGACTAAGGCCCGTCTGAATGCTCTCCTTTCTGGATCAAGCACTTCGTTGCAACGCAACCCCACGCGCTCTACCTGCGGTTTAAGCCACGCAGATCTACTTAGGTTTCATGTGATCTAAAAGGTAAGACTCGTTCGGGAAATAGAAAACCTGCACACGAAGCTGCAGTAAGTGCACCAAACTTGTGAATTATAGACGGTTTTTTTTTATTATTTTAGTTTTCTTGGATCATTTTCAAAACGATACTTTAGCTAGTCTCGGGAAATATTTACATGCGCTTCGAGATCAATATATTTTGTTTATAGCCTAGACTTTTTTGTTTATTGTGGAAGCGTTTGCCCATTTCGATCATTTTGTCACTGAAGTTTCACAGGATCCATGCATACCTTTGCGCTGAGTTCCGCGTCACTATATGCTACAGATTGTAAATTATAAATCTTTGGTTAGTATGCGACCATCAAGTAAGAAAGAAACTCCCAAATTTCAATTTTTGCAACTGTGAGGCCTTCAAGAATAGATCGAAAGCGGACAGATGAGCGGACGTAGAGAAATCGGATAAGAAACAAACATATTTCACAAGGTTCTTCAAGCGCATTTGTGAATTTTAGAAGGGTAAAAGCAATTTTAGTACACTTCAGTTCTTCAGTGATGTATGCATAAAAGGGGAGTGTAATACTTCATATATATAAATCGTTTCAATTATTTATCCATATACGTACGTTTGTATACGCTTCTCAGTTGTTTTAATTGCGTGTTAGGTGTCGCTACTTTCAAACTTTACTTCTCATAAATTACATGTGACACGTATAAGTATGTATATATATGCTATATGTCTGCACGAATTATTAAAGATAAAACGCGTTAATCGTAATTAATCATAATTCGAAAGCTCCGAACAGCCAAAATGCTTAAAAATATAACTGATATATCAAGCCCGCAACGGCTAAGTTTTAAGTATGCATTATATTCATTCAAATCACATCAGTTGCACATATAAATACAGTGCATAAAGATCGATTTAAGCCGATTGTTAACTTGGTGTCGTTTATTTTGTTTTTTTTCCTTCATGTATTATTGTTCGATCTTCAATATATAAATTATTTAAATATTAAGAAATATCTGCTTATCAAATTTTAATATTTAAATTGTTCCGGAATAACCCACACGTAATTTCTACGAATTATTGAATAAAATATAATGTTTTCTATTCAATATACACTACTTTCAATATAAATCGGTTGAGTGTTATTAGTATTTTTGCCAATTATAATTTTTCTTTTTCTTACAAAACTCGCTTTGTTGCATTAAACTTGAAACCTAAACTAAGAAAAAAGCTTGATTTTTCCCAACGAACAAACAGCGAAATGAGAACATTTTGTCACACATTCTATTTTGTATT